CCAAAATCAAGAGTCAGATGCTTAACCGACTGAGCCACCCAGGCGCCCCCACTTGTCACTTACTTTTTTTTTTTTTTTTAATGTTTATTTTTGAGAAAGAGAGACACTGAGTGCGAGCGGGGGAAGGGACACAGAGAGAGGGAGACACAGAATCCGTAGCGGGCTCCAGGCTCTGAGCCGTCAGCACAGAGCCCGACGCGGGGCTCGAACTCATGGACCGTGAGATCATGACCTGAGCCGAAGTCCGACACTCAACCGACTGAGCCACCCAGGCGCCCCATCAGAGTTTCTATACACCAGCAAAAGGCTACAAAACTCCTATTAACCTTTCTCCTGTGGAATTAAAGATAGCATCTGTGAACACCACAGAGAGTTAGATTTTCATTTACGAGCAGAGTTAAGTTACTACCTCAGGACTACCTTGTGTTTGCCTGCTGGGGAAAGGGGGGTGCGGTTCCCGATTCCGAGGGCATGAATGCCCAAAGCCACCCGTTTGTCACTGCCCTGGAGATACCTATTCCCACTGCCCTCACCCCTTCAATTTTTCCTGCCTATTTCTCTTAGTATCACTTCTCTCCACGAGAGCAGCAAACTCCCAATGGCTGTAAATATCATGAGGGCAGGGACCTTGTTCACTACCATCATCTTGGTGGCAAGCCCGGAGGTGTTCAATGAACGTTTAGATGTGTGAGCTGTCTCCATCCCGTCGTTATTTCCAAATGAAACCTTTGTCCGAAGTAGGCAAAAGTGGAATGGATGCTTACTTTTCTCTTCTTGCAGCAGTTTGTTTTCATGAGGAACATGAAATTATGAGTTAGGAGGAAGTGTCCTCACCTCCTTCCTCCTGACACGAGAGCAAGGGGGCCAACTAGAGAAAGCAAGGTGCGCTGTGGAAAAGGAAGTCAAGGTGGATTTGAAAAGCAGATTATTGGCAGGAGGGAGGGCCCTCCTGTCGTCTCACCTGTTGATCTGGTTTAGGGGCTTTCTCCAGCAACACTCGGCAGCCGTGCTCTGGTCATTTCTAGCTGTTTCCTCCTACCACTGGACCATGGTCTCTCAAGGACAAGGACTCGAGTCCTTGACCCCCGGGGCCTGGCACACAGTCAGTGATTAGTAAATGTTGGCAAAAATGACTATGTACGTGAAGAAATTTAAGGGGCGTAGGGAAGTGTGGTTTACCAAGTTGGACTGGCAAGGCAAGTGGAACAAAAGAGGGAGGTGCTGATGTGAAAACAGCCTCCAGAGGCCTGGCAACCGGCCCCAGGCTAGGTCAGGAGGCAAGCGATGTGACTCAGGACTGATGGCCGATGGCCGTGGAGCATCGCTCCTCCTAAGGCCAGCTCTGCCACTGCCGCCCCGTTTTCACCTGCTTTCTCAGGAAACCTGCACTATTGATGGTCACTCCCCCCTGGGACTACATCCTCTTTCTCGGGGCTTTCCTTGTGGCTTCTAAACATGCTTTAGGAGTTCTCATATTTAAAATAATCCTCCATTGGGGCGCCTGGGTGACTCAGGCGGTTAAGCGTCCGACTCTTGATCCCAGCTGAGGTCTTGACCCCAGGGTTGTGAGTTCAAGCCCTGCGGTGGGCTCCAAGCTGGGCATTAGAGCCTACTTAAAAATAGTAATAATAAAATAAGATAATCCTTCATCCACACCATTTACCTATCTCCATTTTTTCACTGCCAAACTTCCCTCTATGCGGTTTCCATTCTCAACCTAGTCTGGCTTCCGTTCCCTGTAATTCCAGGTCATCAGTGATTCGTGGGTCACTGAACCCCGTGGCCTTTTTTCAGGCATCACGCTTGACCTTCCAGCAGCATCCAACCCTAATGGTCACTTCCCTCTCCTTCTTCACTCTTTTCTCTTGGGTTAGGTAATACCAGAGTCTTCTGGTTTTTCACCTACTCTCTGGCTACTCCTTTTCTGTCTTTGTAGATAGTTTTAATGTTTATTTTCTACTTGTGTGAGAGAGAGCACGGGGGAGGGGCAGAGATTGGCGAGGGGCACAGGGAACCCCAAGCGGGCTCTGCACTGACAGCAGAGAGCCCAACGCGGGGCTCGAACTCACCAACTGTGAGATCCTGGCCTGAGCTGAAGTTCGACGCTCAACCGAGTGAGCCACCCAGGCGCCCCATGTAGATACTTTTTTTTCCTTAAACATTTTTTTAATGTTTGTTTATTTTTGGGAGCGAGCCAGGGAGGAGCAGAGAGCGAGGGAGACACAGAATCCGAAGCAGGC